AATCCCCTGACAGAAGAAAATTGCACAATGAAACAGCACATGGAATAGACACAATTTTAAATGACAGAAAGTTAATGAGGTAACAGCAGATATAATATTAAATTGCGTTATTGTCCGGTGTGACCCAGTTTGGGTCTATTATTGACATAATTCTATGCTAGTTAAGCCGCTGCATTAAGCACGTAAAATAAACAATTATATTACATTATTAACTTCTATGTAATGTTTCAATAAATAAATAAATAAATGCAATACAAAATAGTTTTTTAGCTTATACTCCATTCTGTTTGCACCCTAAAACAGACCTCTCAGTAAATTAACATTTGTGCCATCAAATTGAGAGAGATGAAAATCTGCTGCTATGTGGACTGGCCCCTGGCCCAGGGTGCCATCTTACAAATCACTGCATTAACAGAGCTAATTAAACAGGCAATCTTTTAATGGCCCACTGCGGCGTCCATGCAAGACGGAGACTTCCATCTTGTCAATCTGCAAGCTCACACATTCGTTTAGATGACTGCAAACTGTCTCCTCAGCAGTCATTTCGTGCTCAGCACGGTGTTTTCTCTCTCTGCCTAAATGCTGGAATTAAATAAATGGGTGATTGAGTCCTAATATAGTTGCTTGATTAGTTTAATTGTCTGAAATAGAGATGGAAATGCCTTAGTCGAGAATATGGTAGTCTTTTGCATGAATAAACTCAATCAGATTCATTTACAATTCTGCATAGATATTTAACAAGAGGAAGCGTGGTTTATACGGTCAAACTAATCGCCACTTTTTAGGACTAACTAAACGAGTGGCTGGAAACACTGAACACAATGCGTATTTTATTTCAAAAAGGCTCATACATGAGCACTCCTCAGAAAATATGAATGCAACAAAGTCAATTAAAATTGTGTCTCCCACATAAATGAAACTGAGGTCAGAGGGCAGCGTAAATACCTTCCCGATGTATGGAAAAAGGACATAAATTTAAATAGCTCAACAACACACAGCACAGTTATTGACTCACATCTGGACATAATATGCTCTCTCCTCTCCGCAGAAAAGGTATAAACAATTTTGATTTAAAGCCTATTATATTCTATTATATAAAAATGCCACCATATAATATTCTTAAGGGTGTATAGTAAGTTTACAAAAGAAAGGACTTTGTACTTTGCATGTTTAACACACAATGGTAATGTTTTCATATGCCACACTTGTCTTGTTTTTCATTTTTAAATTGATAAACACCAACAACACTTTGCTCAAAGTCAGACATAATAAAAATGTAAAGAAAAATAAGCTTGAATAGAGAAAATCAAATCACAATGTTATTTACAGTGCATGTTAATTCTTTTGAGTAACACTTGTTTTCCATTTCCACAGAGTAGATTTTAGCTTTTGCATTTTGGTTTCTGGTAAACAATAGGTTTGGATGTTTCAAGAAAACAAGGCCGTTTTGAAGTCCATTTTAAATACATTCAAGATTAATATGATCACATTTTGTTTACGACATGCTACTTAAAGAGATGGTTCATCCAAAAATAGAAATTCTGTCATTATTTGCTCACCCTTAAGTTGTTCCAAACCTGTATAGGTTTCTTTCTTCTGCTGAACACAAAAGAAGATATTTTGAAGAATGTTGGTAACCAAAAATTTGCCGGTAGCCATTGACTTCCATAGCATTTTTTTTCCTATGGAAATCAATGGCTACCGGCAACTGTTTACTACCAACATTCTTCAAAATATCTTCTTTCGTGTTCAACAAGAAAAAAATTCAAACAGGTTTGGAACAACTTTTCATTATTTCTGGATGAACTTTGCCTTTAAACTCCTGTTTGCCGCGACACCTGCACAGTTTTAGCCACTGTGCAGCTCCCTAAACATTTTTTTTTTGCCTTTTTCTTAGAGCCAAGTGAGCCGCATGCTGCAGAGGGGAGCAAGGACACATTCGTTTAGGTGAAATATTATGTTGCGCTGTAGATTTCTCCCTACAAAGGTGGAAAAAAGCAATGCATCTAATCTATGTTTTGCAATAAGCTGCTGTGATTTCACACTCACGGGAGAACGGTGTGTCTGGAGAGGCAGCCACAACAGCTATGGTAATAGACTGAGCAGAACGGCTGTGCCACGCGCCTGGCTGGCCTAGTGTATCTCCAAATGAGATCAGTGGTTATTGACTCAATGCTGTTATCTTTAATCTGTGGAGTAAATTACTTTGGATGCTGCCTCTCTACCCTGGTTTCTTTCCCCTTCTTCTATAACTCCACCCTTACAATTCCATTTGAGGGGTGCAGGCTGCTATTTACTGGGCCGTGTGTGTGTGTGTGTGTGAGACACGAGGACATGATCAACGCCCTGAGGATCCAGGAATCGAGGGAGGCCCTATTTCACTGGGAGGATTACTGCCACCCCCAACTCCTTCTTTCTCGTTCTTCCTCTCTCTCGTCTCTAAAGGCCTGGCATGTCTTATCACAGGTTCTGTATAAAGTGCTGGGCCTCAGGGGAATGTCACCTTGGGGGGAAAAAGTGCTTCTCCATTGAGAAAAGAACGTTGAAGATCATATGGGTGGGCCTTTATAAAAACTGATTGAGAGCTTTTAAACCTCATTTTTTACATTTTCCAAAAAAAGTCAAATACAGATCAACATGATTTTTTTTGGTTAATTAATGTCTGGGTGAATATATTTGTATCATATTGATCAAAACTACATATATACAGCCATTCAAAACGTTTTGGTCAGTAAGATTGTTTTTTAATTCATATTTTTATTCAACAAGGCTGCATTAAACTGATCAAAAGTGACAGCAAATACATTTAGAAATGTTAGAAAAAAATTCTACTTCAAAAACATTCTGTATTTTTGAACTTTCTATTCATCAAATAATCCTGGACAAAAAATAATCACAGTTTCCACAAAAATATTAAACAGAACAACTGTTGTCAAGATTGATAATAATAAGAAATGTTAATTGAGCACCAAATTAGAATATTAGACTATTGTAGAATATTGATATAGAATACTGATTTCTGAAGAATCATGTGACACTGAAGACTGGGAGTAATGGCTGCTGAAAATTCAGCTTTGTCATCGTAAAAATAAATGATTTTTTTAATATTTTTTAAATATTTTAAAATATAAAAACAATATTAAATTGTAATAATATTTAACAATATCACTGTTTTACTGTATTTGCACATTAGAGACTACACCTTACCAACCCCAAACTTTTGAACGGTTTAAATATATATATATATATACTGTATATATGTGTGTGTGAAAATATATTTATAGAAATGTATTAATTAATTATTTTCAGATTTTTGTCCCTTTCCTAATTGTTTCCCCACACTATCTTAAATCTTCCCACTCCTATTAGGAAGTCTAAGGCTGGCCTCCCCTCCACATACATTTTGGACTTGACCAATAATGTCCCAAAGATCTATGACTTGTTATATCTATGACTCAGTTTCCCAAAGGATGTGGGATGTTTTTAAAATGTATTTTCAATTTACAAATACCTATAGTCTGTTATATGTCTGTATCTTTCGTAAAATCGTAAAATTGGATTAAAAGTTATGTTTAAGCAGACTGCGTCTTCCATATTAACATAAGCATGATGGAGATTTCAGCAATGAGCGGTAATTGCTCCCCCTGTCACCTCTGTTGTTGCAGTGGGATTCTGGACATCTCATCAGCTAGAGGGTGCAATAGACCGTGTAGTGGGGAAGTGTTCTCTCTTTCCACATTACTGCACTATGTTTATTTACAGAATGCTTTCTGAGCAGCAGAAGCGGCCTTGATTAAGTGTACGCTCTTTATGTGACATCTAACAGATTAAAACTGAAGGAAACCTTGCTGGAGGCCTTCCTTCATGAATATTTGCTTTGATACCGGCAGACGTGTTTGTATACAGATTTAGTTTAAAATAGGAAGTTTAAAGATACATTAACATAATATAATACAAGTACTATACTGTTAGATTATGTTATTGTTAGATATTTTATTGTTATTATTGCATGTAAAAAATAAAATTAGATTTGCGTATGAGGAAACTAACCAGATTTGCTGATTTTATTGCTTTGTTAAAATAATAAAAAAAAAAAACTTTATTATTATTATTATTATTTAAACTTTAATAGTAAAATAATAATAGATTATAGTTTTTTAAAATAATATTATTATTATTCCTTATTTTTTCTTTTCTTTTTTTTTTTACTTAAATAATAATAATAATAATAATAATAATAATAATTTATTTTATTGAAGAACCTCCTCTCTGTCACTCAGCCCCTCCCCTACCGGACCACACATTTCAATACAAACAAAACAGATTCCAAATCAATAGCCAAGCAACAGAAATGCTGGATAACCGCAGGTTTATAAGAAGAGCTTTAGCCCAAATGTGACTGTTCAGAGAAGGTTCGCTTATGACCCGGAGGCGTTTTGCTCTATTGAACGTAGAGGCGGTTGGGTTGTTTGTTTGTGTTTGTTTTCTTTTGTTTGTTTGTTTGTTTGGATTGATTTTTTCTCTCTCTAGTAGGGTGTGAAGCGACTGTAACCTCCTCTGTAAAGGCTAGCCTGCAACATCAAAGATGAAAAAACAAAAAGGACCCAATCAGTGTTAAATAGATTCTTTGGGGTGAACAGTGGTTGAAATTTTCTTCCCTTTTGTCTCATTTTGCTTATCGTTTTAAGTTTGGAATGAAATTACAATGTGAATTTTAACACAGGTGGGTGTCAGAGTTCAGAGCTTCATGGATCAACCGGGTAACGACTAAAACAGCCCAGTGTATTTCATCAGTCGCTCTGTATCGAAACTCTGTAACCTCTCCATCATGGCCGTCTCGCCCTCAGGTTGATCTGATTGGAGACATCTAACACGCACTACTTTCTCAGACCTCTCCTTAACCGGACTGCAGTAGTGCCCTATTACTTGAAATGCTTCATGAAGGGTCCATGTAGCTAACTATCAATTTTAACACTACTACAATATAGTATCGGTAAACAATCATAGACTCCATAAGAGAAAGCCGGAGCTTTGTAAATCAATGTTTATATCCATATTTCCCTTTGATATTTACTGGAGAAGAAATAGTAAGGCTATATTAGTAGTTTACAGATAGCATATGCAAACCTTAGAGGTTTTTCTTTTCATATTTTAATGAATAGCAGTCATCGCTACTTCTAATAAGTGGGTGTTCAGTGGGGCCTTTAATGCAAAGACTGCAAATATACGTATGCGAGTCTAGCGCTGCTGTTGTTTTGCTCAAGTTGCTCATTGCTGTGCCATTTAGTAAGGCAAATAAACTCACTTCCTGGCCCACTCCCTGTCCACATAAATCAGCTGAGCTCATGCCCATAAATCTACGGCGTGACTAAATGAGAAAACTCATTGGACAGCACCCCTCCGGCCCCCCTCCTCTCTGTCACTCAGCCCCTCCCCTACCGGACCACACATTTCAATACAAACAAAACAGATTCCAAATCAATAGCCAAGCAACAGAAATGCTGGATAACCGCAGGTTTATAAGAAGAGCTTTAGCCCAAATGTGACTGTTCAGAGAAGGTTCGCTTATGACCCGGAGGCGTTTTGCTCTATTGAACGTAGAGGCGGTTGGGTTGTTTGTTTGTGTTTGTTTTCTTTTGTTTGTTTGTTTGTTTGGATTGATTCTCTCTCTAGTAGGGTGTGAAGCGACTGTAACCTCCTCTGTAAAGGCTAGCCTGCAACATCAAAGATGAAAAAACAAAAAGGACCCAATCAGTGTTAAATAGATTCTTTGGGGTGAACAGTGGTTGAAATTTTCTTCCCTTTCGTCTCAAGTTTGGAAAGAAATTACGCTGTGAATTTCAACTCGGATGGGTGTCAGAGTTCAGAGTTTCATGGATCAACCAGGTAACGACTAAAACAGCCCAGTGCGTTTCATCAGTTGCTCTGGATCGAACCTCTCCATCACGGCCGTCTGGCCCTCAGGTTGATCTGATTGGAGACATCTAACACGCACTGCTTTCTCAGACCTCTCCTTAACCGGACTGCAGTAGTGCCCTCCTCTGCTCTTGCCAAATACAAAAAACTTCAAAGGCTCTATGGGCCGTTCTCCTCAGCTGCAAAATACACACGCCTTAAACGTGGCATGAATTCTGTTCTAACAGAGAGCAAAGCAAACTCACTTTTTTTTTCCGAACCCTCTGAGGGGCTCATTATTAAATACTTTTTACTTGTGATCTGCTGGTCAAATATGATTTAATGATATTCATTTCATTCTCAGCAGGCTCAGTGCAAGTACTGAGAGGAGTTCTGCTCATTTGAGTCACAAGCGGTTCGGTCCTGGCATCGCTGAGAACTCTGAGTGCCCACTTCGGCCCCCCTGTGGCCCTCGTTCGACCGGAGGAGCGCCGAAGGATATTTGCTATGCCTTAACGTGGCAAATTGAAGTCTTGAGAAAGGGAGGAAAATTTGATAAAAAAAGAAAAGGAGGCAAAAAAGCAACACAGGCCACAGTTTTAATTAAGTAAATGAAGAGGAAAAAAATGGTCTTAATTAATGAAAGCTTTTAGCTAGCAGCTGCACCGGGGAATAGTACGGTTTTGAGAATCACACGGATGTCGACTTGGTAAATTCCAGTCATTTGTCTTAGGCAGAGTGTTTGTCCAATAAGCCTCATGGGCAGGGGGAGGTGGGTGCGATGGAATCGTTTTTTTCTCTTTCTTTTTCCCCCGTCGTTCTTCCTCTATCTCTCACCTTTTCTTTAATCTCCCTCGGCACGCTGCTGCACGCGCTTGATGGTCGTTAATCTTGAGAAAAGTCCCGACCAACAGCCGCAAAAAAACTAATCATAAAGAGTTTTCACTTTTTGTGTTCAGATAGGAGTTTGAGAATTTTTCATCTTTGATGTTAGCTGCAAAAGCTAGCTAAAAACAAACATTAACGGGACGACGATCCCCACATTTGCTGATATGCAAAGGAAAGTGTCTCATTTGGAAGGTCTAATCAAGTGTCAGTACGCTGGATTACCCCAATGCATTTAATGAGATACAAAGTGCCCAGGATCCATCTTGACAAACTGTCACATACACATATATCAGCTGATGAGTCCCTGAATATATAAACATATATCTATAGCCCTGACATTAATAATGCAAATGTAAACAAGGTCCAAAATTAACACTTTCCAACTGCCAAATACAAGTATAAATCGGCTTTGGCGAGTAAATAAAACACTTCGCCAGTTGGCCAGTTGCAATCTGTAAGAATGATTCCTTATGTAGCTGAGAAAAGTGATTAAAATAAAAAAGGTAATATCATTTACCAATAAATAAATAAATCAAAAATTGTTGTGGCTTGCACAGTTGTTAGTTTTTTTGTTGTTGTTCTAATATATATGTACAAAAAGAGCAATAAAATCATATTGTATATGTTTGTATTTATTATTTATTTATAAAAAAAAAACGAATTACATATAATGTATGTATAAATAAAGCTAATTTATGGCTGGTCATTTTGGACCCCGAATATGAATATGATCATGTACAATATTAAAGACTTCAGCCACCCCAACTACATATCTTCAGCTCACAGCACACCCTTCAATCAGTACTATAATATTTACAATTATACTATTCATAATTCAATTAGATTGAACAGAATGCACAGTTATATCTTTCAGCATTATTATAGTTACACTGGACTCTGCCTTGTATGTTGTTGGGGTGCTTGGGTCTGTGTAATGTTAGGGCATGGATGAATATTTCATGCATCACGTTTCTAGACTCACCATAGTGCCCACGCTGTATGTGGCTGCAGGTCCAATCGTGTGGTGATAAGGGTCTGCTGTTGCATAGACTCTGCCATAGCTGCAGGAAAAGGAAGAAACGGAGAGGGCATTGAAGCTTCGAGAAGATGGTATGCTCCAGTGAACGCTGTTCATTTGAACTAGAACCATTTTCACTACACCCTTCCTCCCTCTCTCTTGCCCTCGCTTTCTTTTTGTCTGATAAAAATGCAATCACTGGCTTGCCATAAATACACGATATAAAGGTAAGAGTGTGTTAAAAGTGATAGGTGCTCTGTTATTGTTTTGGAGTAAAAGTATTTTATCTTATGAGCATGTGGTAAAGTTATATTGGTCAGAGAGGGAGAAGACACTGAAAAACACAGCAGAGTAGAAAAGACAAGACAATGGAAAACAGAAATGAAGAACCAACAGCAGCATTGCATGCTCATTTCTAACATGTGGTACACTTTTATATCCCTATCATACTGGATAAAATATTAAACTCATAATTTTAAAAGATGGAAATTATTTGAGCATTCTTTTATCACAACATAATAATTAAGTGAACATTGGGGTGAATCTAAAATAATTGTATTACCTTTGTTTGAGTTTATGTTGCCATTTTTAAAAAAAAAGAAATCCTCTAATCAAAATGTCGTGTAATTGTTTTTTTATGTTCTCAACATTACTTTCCATGTATACTTTCTATATTATTTATTTTTCGTGTTATAATCCTTTTAAACTATCAAAAGTGACAAAAGGAAGTGACAAAATTTTGGTGGAAAAAGAAATAGCACAAAAATCAATCATTTTTAGCAAAGGATTTGTTCAATTCTGTGATGGTTTATGCTATTCATTGATACTCTTATTTGAAATATGATTACACAAATATGTATCATTAAAAGTTCAAACATAAAAAAATGCAAAAATATATGAATTAATTTAGTTTTCATGCTTGTGTAAGCAAGTAAATAATCAAGTTTAAATAAATAAATAAACAAAAAAAATATTTTCTATAAATACTTCCTTAAATGACAACATTAGCAAACTTTCAAAGTTCTAAAAGTACTGCAGAACAGGAAGGACCCAGCAAGGAAAGAGATGTATGGATGCTTTGGATTTTGTGTTGTTGTGCATGTGCATTAAAAAAGCGAGTGAAGGAGGCAGAGAGTTTATGTTCACAGCTCTCTTTATCCTTTTCATGCTCCTTTGCCCTCTCTTGTTTACCCAGGCTGCACTGTAAAGAGGCACAGGGCTGGTGGCGGCGGTGGAGTTCTCTGACTCTTTTCATTGGTACCGATTTGGAACTAATTCCTCCAAGATGGGCCTTACTTCTTCCTTTATTTATTTATTAACCCCCAGCACTTCCCTTCTTCATTTGTTGACTTTCCCTACAAACACACGCTTGCAAATGAGGGCCTGTGGGGAGCAGATAAGGCAGGCCGAGCCGGGTGCCGAGGGCACAGACTGAGAGAGGAGAAAAGAGGAGAGAGGGGGGAAATCCTGGGCCCAGACATGCTATTACATATGGAAATACTATCGGATCTGACCAGGTTTTTGTCGTCCGGGATTATTACAACATCAAAGGTCAGGCCAGCTCAGTGGAGTGCGAGAGCCGAGCGGAGGGGATTTTAACTGCTTGTGACAGACAGTGCAGACGAGGGTGGCTGGGAATCCCCGTAACACTCCAGCCGGGCCGGGCTACTTAACCTGCAGCTTAACCGGGCAGCAGGAATGACCCACTCCAAAGTAAACCTGGATAGCTAGTTGTATTCAAAAAGAGTGATTTTTCTCCTTTAAAGTGGTTTCTATTTGATAATTAAGTGATAGTTCACCTAAAAATGAAAATACTGTGATCATTTACTCATCTTCTGTGACTTTCTTTCTTTTGAGGGACACAAAAGAAGATACTGCAGTGTAAAAAAGATTTTTACGTAGTTGTAAACAAAAATTATTGGAGTATTTTTTTCAACAAAATACTATTTCAGTTTTTCTATTTCAAAATGTCATGTTTAATTCAACGTGTTATTTGCTGTTTCTAAATTTTCCGAATGAAAATCACTTCAACACCATTTTGTTTTTCCTGTGTGTGAAAAATTTTCATAACCATACAGTTTTGGTGACTATTTACCTCCATTGTATGGACAAAAAAATGTTTTTTTCAAAATATCTTCCTTTATGTTCCGCAGAAATTTTTTTTATACAGGTTTGGAACAACATGAGATGAAACACAAAATCATTAATTTTTGTGTTAACTATCCCTTTAAGCAATCTTTTTTTAAAAGGAAGGCTATGCAAATTAAAAATTCTTTCATCATTCTGTTGCTCCAATCCCATATGACTTTCATTCATCTGGGGAACACAAAAGAATATATTTTGAAAAATGTCCCAGTGTTTGTTTTTGTTCATACAATGGAAGTCAATGGAATCTAATGTTATTTTGAACTCCACTGACTTTGATAGTATGGACAAAAACGTTTGAAAAAATCTTCAAAATATCTTCTTTTGTGTTCAGCAGAAGAAAGAAAGTTGCGTGAGTAAATGATAAGAGAATTAATACTCTCTTAAGAGGTGAGTTCAGGAGTCTGTGTCATTTAAACACTTACTTTTAAAACCCCTCCGCCATGACATATCAAATTAGAGTGCGAAACGCAGAGCTGGCTTATGTGAAAGCAAGGCGCTGAACGACAAGCGATGCAGAAAGAGCTAGAGAGAGAAAAGGAGAGTTGGAGTGAAAGAGGGGATGCGGGAAGGGGGCTGAAATAAGTGTGGTGGAATGCCAGTCTTGTCACCTGCTCTGATGTGGATCTGTGCTTGGCTCTGATAAATCTTACATTATCTGGGCTCTTCAGGCTGGCAGGCAGGGCCGTGCCTTATCAGCACTGACACGCTCAATCTTGCCTAGATTAAACCAGTGCCTGGCCTGATCCAACCTGACAGGGTCCCCACAGGTCCTGGATAAATTACTGACAACCCTGCACCACCTTCGTCTTCACACACATACACGCTCAACCCTGTGGCCTGAAGTGAGTAAGCTAAGTGGTTACGGAAATTCAGGTTGAATTCAAGTTTAAAGGGCGAGAGTGTATCAAAGATAGGGAAGCAAAGTCTAAATGATCTAATTTAACCCAGTTCAATAAGAGAGCAGATCTGTAAACTCATACCGGGCTTTCAGGGCGGAGGAAAACACTTTTCAGAATGACTTCAGAACTCAAATGCAGTTCAAAGTTGCAGTGCATAATGTCCTGCCAGGCCTTAAAATCCATGGTCTGTTTCTTCATAACCATCATTCTTTGAAATCAGAGAAAGGTTAATGATTTTAATCTAAATTTGTCAAATAATGAGGTAAGACCCAAAGAAGTGGCTTGATAAACGCATTTTTTTTCTTACAGTATATTGACAGATTTCTTTTTGAAACAGGGCAGGACTTTTTATCTAAAAGCACTTATATAATTTCATGTATAAACATCCATTTATACTATATAATTGTTGCAATTGCAATATAATTTTTTTTTTTATTTCCAAGTCTAAATAAATGGCTTTTACTATCACTGTGTGGAAGCCAAAACAAATTCTTTGTTAATATTCATTTTTTTTCTTTTTGCTTCATTTCTTTTTTCTGCATTAACCTCAGCAGCCTGAAAAATACATTTTTGTGTTCTTTTTTTAATTGTCTCTGAACCTGGATAGCTTGTTCCATTCGTACTCAAAAATTTTGATTTTCCTCACCTCAAATGGTTTCAATTAGATCATTAAGAAATAGTTCACTCTTTGATATCTCAGTGAAAAGTTTTGTCAAAAACTGCATTTAGATGCCTTCAAGTCTAATATACATAGACCCAAATAACCAGTGTTGTTTTAATTGGGTCTTGAAGCATCAACTAAGTGATAAAAGACAGACAGAAAGCACAAGACTCTTACCTGTCACTGTAGGCCGCTGCAGCTGCTGCGGCTGGTTGGGCATATCTGTATGCTGCATAGCCACCCTGTCAATTACATAAGGGCATCCGTCAGACACATGCAAACAGCAGGGCATCGGTGACATGAAATTTTTAGAACCATCTGTCTACAATACAACTGAACTGTTCATACATTATCCCATCTCTTTGCAGATCCTAACAATGCAGTGAATCCCAAAAGCTCAGTTACAACCTTAAGAGTGCTGCTGAAAAGGCCTGTCAATGCTCACTAAAATCAACGCTGAGTGATTTAGGTGGTATTTAGTTTGCCAATACAGCTTTTTGTGAAGCCTTTTTGTTTAATGGGGAATTGTCAGATTGACTGCATTAGCTCTTTATATAGATCTCGACATAGATGCCTAACAGCCCGAGTCCGAAAGCGAACCTTCTGAGCGTCTTCACTTATCTACGCTGAGTGCAGCAATAGCGGTGCAACCAACGGCTTGTCTTTCCAGTGTGCATCAATCCCATCAATTGAAATGGCAGGGCTGGGCAACTATCGATCAGCATGGTAAGTGGCAATCTGGTATAAACAATTAAAATCAGTCAATGTTTGCTTACTGCGAATGAACCAAATGGAAGATTTGGCTGAAGCTATTGAAGGGGCCTTTTAATTAATGTGGCTGGCCAATACGAGTCTCCTGGCTCGATGCCCAGGGGAGCGGTCTTGACACACACAACGTGCTCATCCGTGGCTGGAGAACGGCACAAGACAACACTAAATATTGCTTGTATAAGCATTAGATGACATCTGACAAAGCTATTAATTGCTCCATTCAAGCTAGCTATTAATAGGCGCGTTGTAAGCAGCATCAAATGACATTAGCCGAGACTGTTAGCCGCAAGAACCGAGCGTCGTCTGCTAGTCTTCTCGGGGTGACGTTTTGTGAATGCTTACACTCCAAACATGCCAAGCTTTAAACAACGGGGTATTTATTTGCTGTGAGCGAGTATCTAAGTGGCTGGGGTGTTTATTGAAGTGTCTGTTTTAATGAAACGTAGCTCCGCTCTTTGTTATTTTTGCACGCTGACATCACTGGTACATTATGTGAATAATCGTGGTGCCAGAGCTCGTGCAGGACTGAGGCATCACAGATACAGGACTGCATGCTGAATTATAGATGCTCATTTATTTTTCAGCTCGGGATTAATGTCCGGTGCTACTCTGCTAAGATCAAATGTTTAGCTACTGGAGTCGAAGAAAAATCAGGTCACAGAAGATTGTGTACATGGATTCTGTAGAAGTTACAGCTTCCTAATTCCGGCTCACACAGATGGATTTAAAGGGATAGATCAACCACATATGATATTTATGTCATTATTTACTCAGCTTCATGTCGTTCCAAACCTGCATGCTGCTTTTTGTGGAACTCAAAAAATTAAAATAAAATAAATAAAATAAATATTAAAAATAATACTTTTTCAAGATTTTGATCATTGCCTGCCATAAAAACACTGTAAAATGTCATACTTGAGATTTTGGCATTTGGTTAGGGGACATTTGAAAACCAGTAATGTTTAAGGTTACTGATGTCCAACCTGCACCATTAAAGGCATATTTGAGATTCACAGCAGAGTTGAAGAAAACCAGTGAATAACGACTTAATTTACAACTTTTCATTACACAAAGCCACTTTGTAAGGCTTATACAGTGTTGTTTAAAAGTTTAAAAGATCAAAAATACAGTAAATATTGTTAAATATTTTTGCTAATTAAAACAACTTTTCTATTCAAATCTATTTTAAAATGTAATTTATTCCTGTGATGGCAAAGCTGAATTTTCAGCATCATTACTCCAGTCTTCAGTGTCACATTATCCTTCAGAAATCATTCTAATATGCTGATTTGGTGCTCAAGAAACATTTCTTATTATTATCAATGTTGAAAACAGTTGTTCTGCTCAGTATTTTATGAAACCCGTGATACATTTTTGATTTCAGGATTCTTTGTTGAATAGAATGTAAGAAAAAAACATTAAGCATTTATTTGAAATAGAAATATTTTGCAACATTATAAGTGTATTTACAGACAATGTAATGCATCCTAGGTGAATAAAAGTGTTATTATTATTATTTTAAATCTTACTGACACCAGATTTTTTAGCGGTAGTGTATATATTGAATATGAGTCTTAAGGACTTCATTATCAGTGCTCTTTTAGAGCTTGACAGCACCTGATCACTACAAACTGTCATTGTATGTGAAGAAAACATCAAGTTACATGGTGAAGATCGATTAAATAGTCAGCATACAGGTTTGGAATAACATGAGAGTGAGTAATCTTTACTTTAACTATTCCTTCATAAGTTATCTAAACTTCGGGTTACTTCGAAAAGTTGATGGGGTGGTCCACAGAGAAGGATTCTGACTTTATTGGCAAGCAAACGTACTACGTGCATTCGTCAAAATCCGTTCGACCGTTTTGAGATTTATCTGGGACTGTAGCCACGGACCTGGCTACGAGTTTGCAAACTTGGCGGCAAACATACTATCGTGCATGCCAGGTAAAGGCATTGCAGTTACGTCGACGTTCATTTGTCTTGGTTTAGATCTAAATGTTGAATTAATTTCCATTTTTCATGCAGTGAAATAATCCTGGGAAGGGGAGGCACGCTCTCTGATCACCTGACTGACTAATACGTTCTGACGGCCTGTCAAAAACAATAGGGCCTGGGCACAATCTCGGGCTGTAGCGTGAGGCCTTTGGGCTGTATTTAAATGGAAGCTGAGGGAAAGGCGGATCAAATGTGTGCCATAAATTAAAACAAAAACACTGTAACGTCGACTTCATCAACTTGATCAGGCATGATTTTCCACCCACTTAGAGCAAAACCAAGCAGCGGTGGAGATAAAATGTGGAAGAATGAGATGTTAAGTGCGTAGGGGGGTTCGTTTTTGGTTCATTCCACACTGTATTCCACATAGAGATCATCTACAGGCTTCAAAGGAAGCCAAGTTGGAAGTGGTTGAGCCATGTGCGATTTCATTGTGCCATGTAACGGTATGCACAAGGGATGCCAACAAGGCTTTTAGTACACCACAAACGGCCATCCTGGTGGATTTGCACATGGTGACCTGAGCTGACCCTTGGCCTTATGAAAGATTCAGCACCAGCTGAACGCGAGCTACGTGAGCGCCATGTCCTCAACGTTGCATTCTTTTACAGAAACATTTTGGAATGGGGAAAAACAGAGCATACTCACATAGATCTCAGCACCGTAGAAGCCATCTTGGTAAACCACACTGCAAAAACACAACAAGAAATAACAAAACACAATACATCAGTGCCGAACATCCATGGAGTTTCTTAGCGCTGTATAGAAAATAAAATAAATTATGCAGCGATGCATTCATTCGGCAGACAAAACAATGCACTCCAGACTGTGAGGAAGGGAAAAAATTGAGCAGATTAGGAAAGACGGCCATTTTCTGTGCTTAGAGAAAAACAATGTTGCTTTATAATGGGCTTTGCTCTGTCTTGTCACTGGGGAAAACCGGTAGGGCACGCCATTAGAGTGTAACGCACTTTATAGCCATCAAGCGGTCATGTTGCAGGTTAAGGCGGTAGCACATATAATGCGAAAATGGCCCTTTGATAACAGCACTTTTAAGTGCTGAATTTTACCTAATAACGGCCTCAGGCTTGGATGGAAACAAAGCGAGCCATTTGCAGATGCTGTATGTGTATGTTCTGGGTGAAGGGGTACTCACGCTCCGTAAGCAGGAATGGGAGGGGGTGGAGGTACGGCGCGGAACGTGTTGTAGACGGCACGACCTCTGCCTCTCAAGTGGGCGCCCCTGTAAGCCACCGTCGCCCCTGTGGTGGGATAGGGGAAGCCTGTCACTGGAAGAAAAGGAGAGAAGAAAGAAGGTGACATAAGCTTTTGCTTCTAAGAGGCACACCTGTCACCGACAATCGGCTTTCAGTTGGTAGTGTGACAACACACTGTCATCCTAAAATGTGATGCTTTAAAACAACTCAGACGGATGTCAAACGGTGTGTCATGTTGGCACAACACATCAAGCATGGCAGCATGATGCAGCCAGTGATTCTCAAATGGTTTTGCTTCAGGACCCAGATTTGTGGCAACCTGATACAGTTAAAAGTGTGTTTATCCTCCAGTAGTAAAACAAAAATGTCATTCAAAATCAAAAGGTGATATTTATTAAAGGTGCACTATTGAATTCTGAGATTTCTGATGATATGGTTGAAACATAAAATTGCACGTTACTTGTGGAGGAAGTGACGAGCTGTTAATTAGTTTCTTGTTATGGCAGATAATTGATAAACGATCAATATTGGAGTTACATTAAAATATTATAATAAATATATTAAAATAGTATGTTAAAAATAAATAACATAAAATTACAATACAAATATTAAAATAAATATATTAAGTTAATAAAAATATTAAACAAATGACAAATATGGATTTCTGGGCTTACTGCCAACATTTGTGGCTGGAATATAAAATTGCAAGTTACTTGTGGATCAACTGATTCATCAATATTACAATTCTGGCTGATATTTATTTTCATGTTAATGACAGATAATTAAAAATGTCTATTAAAATATTATTAAAATAAATATTAAATTAACATATTTAAAATTCAATTAAAATAATAAATATTTAACAAATAAATATATTAAATTAATAAAAATATATATGATCTATATTAAAACACTAAAATCTTCTACAGAAAAAAAACTATGTAAATGCTATATTAGGGAATTTTAGGAGGACAACATTATAATGTACAGTATGAAAATTGGATATCCATGCTAAAGATTACATTTAACAGTATTAATAAATATTTTTTACATTTTCAGAGTTTTTAAAGATTAAGCTTTAGTGATCATTACATGATGGCAAAGGTAATCTTAAAAAAAACCAAAACACTAATATCAACTTCTGTGCTATCAAGTGTGGCACAGATATATTGTGCATCTGACGCAATAAATAAGTTACCATGAAGAATTAAATGAGAGCATAAACAGCACAGGCCCAACAATATGCAAAATTCTTAAAAATAATCCACACCAAATGGGAAGCACCACACTGCTCTAAACTAAAATTTCCAGGTTTTATTGAATACTTGAATGCAACTGAATACTTAGCATTAATCTGAGCACCTGGAGAACGAAACGCTAAGGCATCCCTTGTCTGGGGAAGCCTCTCTATTGTGGTTATCTCTGAAAGCTTGAGCGTGGGGTGTGTGTGAGTGTGTCTGGCTGCTCTCCTGCTCTGGAGGGGTGTGTGCGAGGCGGGGAGATGGTAGATTGTTGTAGGTGAGACACAAGGTGCTGGCACGCGGGGCTGAGAGAGCAGATGGAGAGGATTGTTTAGAGATGCAATCACAGGCTGGCGCCATCCCTCATCTCTCTCCCCCCACACACTTCCCCAGCCTCTCGCCACCACTGGGGCCAGCCCCAGCCTGGAGGAGAGCAGGGACAACACAGGGTCAAGACTGGGGGAGGTGGCAGAGAGTTGAGAGACAGAGAGAGAGAATCAGGCTTTATGCATGTTAAGGAAACATACACGGATGTGAAAGTGAAACAGACAGAATGAAACTTGAAACAGTGTGTGTAACAATAAATAGGTGAAAACATGTCCAGGTCACATTTCACACAGTCTCACAGGCCACAGATACCCGCAGACTGCCCGCAATCCATTAGATGGATATTGCACATAAAAATGGAAAGCTCTTTCTCAGTTTCACAAGCTCTAATCTGACTGGACGACTTTAAGTATAAATACACTTTTTTGGTGACACTTTACAATAAGGTTCCATTAGTTAATGTATGTTAATGTATTAACTAACATGAACGAATAATGAACTATACATTTATTACAGTCTTTATTAATCTTTGTTAATGTTAGTTAATGAAAATACAGTCGTTCATCGTTAATTCGTGTTAATTCACAGTGCATTAACTAATGTTAACAAGCACAACTTTCAATTTTAATAATGCATTAGTAAATGTTGAAATTGAAATTAACTAAGATTAATAAATGCTGTAGAAGGATTGTTCATTCTTAGTTTATGTTAACTAAAGTTGTTAACTAATGTTAACTAATGAACTTTATTGTAAAATATTAACCCTTTTTAAACAGACTACATTTCAAACTACATTTTACCCCAAAATCTAAAGAAAAAAAAAAATATATATTTAAATTTTTTGCTTTGTCATTTTTTCTTGCATCCATGTTTTACTTAATGAGTGTGTTTACTTAATTTTTAATTGAATTCAGCATTAATTAATAGAAGTATAGCAAGTACTATTTATTTTTAAGATTTAATAAGAATGAGATTTCTGGTATTACAAAGAACATAAAGAAAAGAAAATTTTGATTTAAATCTTAATGATCTTACACATAGCGTTCAAACATTTATTCATTTATTGACAAAAGAATGCAGGCACATAAAAAAAAAAAAGATAAATACTGGTGCAGGATCCGAAAAACAGCACAAAAATCTGAAGTAAACTGCACATCTCAGATTGTGAAGGAGCTGGATGTTGGAAAACATTACTCTCTATTTAAATCCTGTTTATTGGAATTTTCTAAGTGTGCAGTTCCATTCATTTGCACATAATGTTTTGTGACATATGACCTGTGCATGTTCTTGACAGGTTTGAGAGTGTGAGATTCACCCAAATAATATGAGAGAACGAGACATTAGAAAAACATATTTGAGAATTCTAGAAAAACCTACATAATAAAAAGACAACATCAGGAAAATGAGCAAAACAGTAAAAAAAAAGAAAAAAAAAAAAAAGAAGTGAAATCAAGAACATGTTACACCCAAGCCTCTCTTTAACCGTCACTGAGTATGGCCCTGATGAGTCAATGACAGCGCCATAATTACCCATAGTACTGTGCAAGCAAAACCCAGCCCAGCAGTGCAGCCCACAAAGCTCTCTTTCTCATTTATGCACCGATGACACTATCGCTGTCTACCCTGAGTCTCAGAGGAGCAGGACAGCCCTCTTCAGTTATTTCATGTCCCCAAACAAAACCTGTGCCTCCTCCTGATCATTACTGTACAGACATCAGCCAAGCAGCACTCAGTTAATAGTCAATTTGTGTCAAAGTTACCACTTTTAATGAGGTCAGCTGGGTTTATTTTAAGCATATATATGTATGTATATACTATATTTAGCACACTGCCTTGGTGTAAAGACTTCTTCGATTCACATTCAGCAAACTTTTGGCCCTGGGGTTCACAAGTGCTGGTATAATTTCCCTTTGACTCTGTTATCTCCTCTCAGACAAACAAACAAACAATAAAACCTCTTGTATGCGACACACCAATCAGTGGTGGAGAGGTACGGCACGCCCCTTCATCAGAAGAAAAAGAAAGACAGATGGCTGAAGGTAAGGCGTTTGGTCTTTCGTTTTGATATAGCGCAGAGCCGTTGACATTTTAATTTGTCCCTTTTAAGCTATAGAGTCGGTGTTAATATGCCAAACAGTGGTCGTCTCTGATATATGCCAGGCCATGGTCAATTTATCCCGAATTCCAGTCATGGGCAATGCTCTTATATTTTCTTTGATTTTGTGTGTGTACATTATGTGTGCCATGACGTACATAAATGTAATCTCATAATGAGCTATGGGTCTGCACGCAGCACCGATTCAATAATAAGCCATAAATCATTCCAGCCAGTTATGACACTCCATAAAGCCTCCGAAACACACAACGGCAAAAGTGTACGTGAGCATAAATCCGTGTAGCCCTCGTGCGCCCCTGTTATTTCAACACAAGAGAAGGTGGAGAGGGTCGAAACCTTTCACATCTGCACATCTACAGTTTAAACTGATAAGGACGCTGACACATTGCTGCATCTATCTGGGTTTACACAGGGGCATCTCTAGTGCTGGAAAGCGTCCCGTTGGGCTGTCTGGATGAAGGTGTGGGGGCAATTACATCCCCTACCCTTTTGGGACTCTTTCATTTACTGCAAGACTGGCTCCTTTAATACGGTGCGGCTGGAAATCGCCGGGTGAGGGCCCCTCTCAGACTGCGTGCTATTGTGAAACGTCTTTAGATAATCAGACCACCGATAAACCCATATCATGAGGAAAATTACACCATTGCTAAACTAAAGGGAGTTTTTTGCCTCCCCCGATACTTCTAATATTGTAATTAGACTGCTTAATTTAAATTATGGATCTATTTGAGTGGTTTTATAATTGAAAAAGCGCAAAATGCCCACAATGCTCCAGCTCTTTTAAAGAAGTGCACACACATAGGTGCACCATTAAGTGCTTCAATATAAGGCCCCAAATGTACTCTACACAAGTGTGCAACAGAGATGTGAATGCTTGAATATACTTAATATTTGCATACTTCAAGTTGTTACGTTCTTGGGGTGTAGTAGTGGTAATAAACCTAGGGGGCGCTAAAGTTAAAGTGCTGATGGGATGACGCATTTTTGAAGATCAATTTAGAAGTGAGCATCACTCTGATTCCCTCTACAAAAAGCCATAGGATTTTTTTTCCATTGTCTTTTGAAATACTGCAGAGTTTGCAAGTTTATGATTCTTACATGCTGTGTTCATCAACATAATCTTTACAAATGAACACAACTTTTACAAATTTTGAAGCCTAAATACAATCTACAAGTAAGTAAAAATATATTTATTTCTGAGTTTCTGAGTTTGAGTTAGAGTAGTTTACAAGAGCGTGAGCATGAACACAACAAGGCTGTAAAAGTGGACTAGTGAGTAGTTCTTATGTTCAGGATGATGACATTTAATATCCTCAGCATTAGCAACCACTTTCTTTAAGAAACATAAAAAACTTTAAAAAAAAAAACACTCATGGGGTATTACTTATGTATTTTATGTTGTAGGAAAACATGAAATTCTCTTGAGTTTGTGTCAACCATAGACCTCATTTAAGGGACACTATTAAAGGAATAATTCACCCTAAAATTAAAATTTTGTCATTATTTACTCACCCTCATGTCGTTCCAAACCTGTATGAGTTTCTTTCTTATGTTGAACAAAAAAGAAGATATTCTGAAGAGTTTTTTTTTTGAAGAACCAAATGTTGTTGGTCCCCACTGACTTCCATAGAAGTGACTTCCATCAACGGTTTGATTACCAGCAATCTTCAAATATCTTCTTTTATGTTCAACATAAGAAAGAAACTCATACAGGTTTGAAACGACATGAGGGTAAGTAAATGATGACAAAATTTTCATTTTTGGGGAACTATCCCTTTCAACTGGATGTGTTGTCATTCTAATAGCTAGTTATAACATTTTATGAGCTTACCTATGTATCTAATTAATGTAACTAATTAAATTGCTCAAATCGATTCTCAGAGTTCTGCCATGACAGTAGTAGACTGTATAAACGTAGAAGGTGGCAGCTAGCTAATGCCCGCTATAGCTCCCTCTCGTGGCAACACTGAGAATGCAATGAGTACTTGTGTTGAAATAAAACTGTCTGGGTTTACGTACTTGTGTACAGTACGTTTTGAGCCAATGATTTTTCTGGATCAGACACACATGGCCTGGAACCAAACATCCCTGAAAATATTTTATCATCTTTATTTAAAACATGAAAATGTATTGCTCTCTACTTTGCATTTTAATCTTATTGGCTGCGTTTGTCTCAACATGCTGCCATGGACCGAATTCACTGGCTGAGAGAGCTGTCAATCAATCAATATTATGTTTTCTGTGCCTTCATGCACGTGCTGCCCGTTTGGACTGAGCAAGGTAGGAAAAATGACCCTAAGATTACACAATTAAGTTTCCGGTGCACGGTTAGCGCCTCAGCCTCGCGTCTGCATCTCTAATTTGGCTTTGGCTACAGAGTGCTAGTTAAGAGCCTGAGGGAGAGAGAGAGAGAGACTGAGGGAAAATGAGAGAAGGAAGATATTGAGATTTAAAGATAGAGTGAGTGAGTAAGAAAAGGGCAGATGGAAAACACCCCAGGCTTAGATGAAGAGAGAAATAGAATTAGCGATATATGTCGAGAGAAGGCTGTGAAAAGTTAGAGGAGTGGAGAAATGAGAGCCAGGGAGGGAGTCTTACGGGGAAGAGAGAAGCCCGACTTCCCTGGAAGAGGTTAAAAGCAGGCAGTCGGCGGCCCTCATCAGTCATTCTCCTGAATGGGATTTGAGGACAATAAACCTGTAGCACCCGGACGAATGGAGACGGAGTGCGCTGTCAGCAGCGCACGATTTATGGTGCCCAATTCCGCTGATCTCCCGCACAGAAACTCGGACTGATAAACAGTGATTAATCACCTTTACATTCGATTTCAGCACCGCCCCTTCCCCCAACAAAGTACATTAAATGCCGTCATAATTATTTCACGTGAAAGCTTCCCTCTTTTTTGAACGGTGGGAGGGAAACGAGGGGCAACACGTGGGCATCCGTTTCAGCCATTCCGGAAGGTTCCTTATTTAGTAAGCAAAATCTATATCTTATTTCCATTTTGTCGCTTCTCCTCCGGTCGCCCCCCAGGGAACAGAGGAGGCATATGGTGTCGTTTAGGCTTGGCGAACTTTAGAGGCATGTTAAGACGACTTGAAAAATTAGCATCCAATAAATCAAGCGACACCGGCTCCCCGAGCCAAGTCGCTGAAGTGCCGGACCAGGGTAAATCTGATTTGATGGGATGTTTTGGGAAGGTGTATGTTCACATGGGAGGCATGGAGGTGTATTTGTTGCGATTAGAGAAGGAATCACATGCATGTTTCAGAGCATACTTAGGGGTCAAAGCATGCATAAACATTTTACAAGCACCGGATTGCTTAGCATATTTGCATTTTTACTTGCATATATGCACATCGCACGCATTCGATTCGTGTAATGGCTGCGTTGGATTGTGCGTTTATGCATGCCAGAATCAAAAGAGGGAGGGAGGAAAGGGAGGGGGAAAAAGTCAGATAAAAATGATAAACGACTGCTTTCTGTCACTGATGGTTATTAGAGTTTTGCTGTAAAGCTGTCCTGAAATGAACAGATTTTAGTCTAATGAGCAAAAAGGCAGGCCTCTAAAGAGCTGCTATGTGCTCAGCACTTCTTCCAAATGAAATACTGTAATACCATTTCCCCCTCATTAGGATGCAAAGGGCTCAAAGAACTCAGGGCAATAAAGAAATCAAAGACCGAGAGGGCAAACAACAGCACAAAAAAGACAACAAGTCAGTCAAACAAAGACAGCTCCTAATCTGCGGTTCAGAAAACAGTCCGTACCAGTTTCATCTCAGTGGGAAATGATGGCCTGGCTGATTATCGCATTGTCAAATGCACCGTGCGGGATGGGAGAACTGGGCCGCGATTTAAAATAATTTCTTAAGTGTCTCTCTGAAGCGCCTGTGTCTGAATTTGATCTAGAAATCAAAGCATATCTGACGAACAGTGAATCAAAGTAAGTATCCGAGCGGGGCCCTGTGACCACAACACTCAAATGCAGTTTACCTGCATAAAATTCAGGACCATAGACAGCTCCCACCACTGGATTCAGCTTCCAGCCTGTAGAGCTACATAAAATTCAGGACCATAGACAGCTCCCACCACTGGATTCAGCTTCCAGCCTGTAGAGGAATACACAGGGGAAGAGAGAATTAGCTGCGAATGCTTATCGCCTTGACCTGTGGAGTGTTTGTTTCTCGATCTTTCGCCGATTAATTCAAGGAACTGGCGGGAATTTGAAAAGAAACTGTAGAGACTCGGAGGAAAGAACAAAAGAAAAGGAGGAGGAGGGAGAGGAGGAGATGTGATATGACAGGAAAATATTTAAGGTGACATTAAGTTGAAGGAGTTAGGGGGCGGCAATATCGGGGCATTCGGAAGAGTGCGAGAAATATAGGATGCGAAAGGGAGTGGGAGAATGAGAGACAGAGAGCAAGAGAGTAGTGAGTGCTGTCCGGTGTGCTGTCAGTGATAGATGGGGGCTGTAAAATAGCCTCCTCTCACTCCCCATTGGCTGTGACTGAAGTAGAGCTGGGGGGTCTAACACTACTGCTGATATATTTGATTATTTTGTTCTCCCTCTCTGTCTCTCTCTCCATTGCAGTCTGAAGGAACGAGCACCAGCGGAAGAGCTCAGGACCCCACCAAGACCCCTGTGCTGAATGAGCCACCTCTCTACCCTGATCCATATCAGCTAAGCTCTCCCCCTGGAGCTCCCGAACAGCGTAAGAAGAGCTGTAGAGGAAGAGATCACTCTTTACATTAAGCCCCTTTATTAGCGGGAAACAAAGTGGATATTACATCATTCATATTATACTTGACGATAGTTTAAAAGAGAAGCCCTAAAAAGAATTAGCAAACTTTAAACTGCATTAGATAACAAAATATCAAACCAAGTGGGATTTCCTTTAAAGAACTAAAACATTTCACAAGGAGATTTTAAATTATTTAAAAAAATAATACAAATGATAATTTTATATAATTATTTATAAAAATAAATAATAATAATAAAAAAAATGTAAGAATTGGGTTATAAATAGTTAAAAAATTATTTATACTGTCCAAAATGAAAATAAAGAATGAGAATAGTTATTCATAGTTAAATATCAAACCAAATGGGATTTATATTTTAAAAGGCCCACATTTATCAAACAAAACATTTAACAAAAAGATGTTTAAAAAAAAATTGTACCAAAAAAACAATAAATAAAATAAAAATATAATTTTATTAAATTATTTATAAAACAATAAATAATTGTGTTTGAAATTAATTAAAAAACATTATAATTATAATTTTATATAATTATTTATAAAAAATATATAGAATTGGGTTTTAAATGATATTTTACATTAGAAATACTGTTAGGGTTAGGCCCTTTTTTGTGCATATGTTGCTTGGTTTGATAATGAAATTCATACATTTTAAGCATAAAACTACATTTGGGGCCACTGAATGTTTTCACGGTAAAAAAAACAAAAGCTCTTACCGTTTGTATATGGGTTGGCCACTTTTTTGTTTGTCATTACTCGTGCCGTTGCATTATTTACCTGTGAAGAATAAGTAGATATAAGAAACAAAACCCAAATCAAAACACATAATGAATACAGGCACATATGCCACAGGCATGAGTGTGACAAAAATCTGGTTCATGCTTCTCGGTAAAAAGTAAAAAAAACAACATTCACATGCTAATTATCAGTTGAAAAATTATGAGATGCTAAAAATGAAAGCGATCCATCAAGCTCTGATCTTCTGTTTTCCTGCTGGATGTAGGGTCTAATCCAGGCTGTTTGTAGAAGAGCTGGATGATGACATCTGGTTCAACATGTAATGAAACAGAGCAACTCTGGAAATGGGCTTTAATGACACCCAGAGTATATTGGAATTCCCCACTAGCCAAGCTGAGGGAGCTTCCTTGAGGCCTTCTCCGCAATTTAATCTGCCACATTGTCTAGACAGTTCTACATATTCCCAGACACTACAACCCTGAGGCGACGGCTTCATGAGCACTAAATTTAACCTCAGGAAGGAGGAGTCATATCGTACAAGCTCTTCAGGTTACACATAACACCAGAAAATGAATGGAATCAGAACACTTATGGCGGCTGGTTTATTTGCACATCCACATGCACTGTAGCTGAACCAGCCTGAAAAAAATCTATATATTTTTTTGAGCTACATGAAACCGTTGTTGATTTTATTATATCATTAACATATAATCTTCACAGAGCTTTCGGCCTTCAAGTAAATAGAAGCTGCAATTGCATGCCTGCTGCCTACACAGAAAATATCCACTCAGGGATGTTACCAAGATGGCCGCCGAGCGAACTGATTTGCCTTAAAGGGACTTTAGTAACACACAGCAAAGCCAAGCAGCTTGTTGGGAGACGCCAAAGGTATTTAAACATGGCCGCTGGCAACAGAAGCCATGTTAGTATTTCACCCTCATGTTAATTAGCGTTAATAGCTTTCCGTTCCACAGGGCCCATGGAGGTCATTTAGCTTGAGGAAACAACTGGCCTCGACTCTCCCTTGATATATAGGTCTAGGTATTGTTTGTGCATTACATGAATTATCTTAATTGTCCTATAGAAAATCTTAATAGCCCTGTGGAGAAGAGGGGAAAAAAAGAGAAAAAGAGACTGTGTCCTCAAGCAAGACATGTGAAAGAAGAAATAAACCTCGGCTGTTTGGGATAAACAAGTGGGATTTAAAGTTACACTGACAGGCCTTTGATATCTCGAGATGAAAATAAAATGTATATTTTTAGAGATGGAGCATGGTTAACACACACTGTAAGTGATGATAAAAAGTTCAAAAGCTTCTTTAAATACAATTGCACATACACATCAAAGCAAAAAGAATCAAATCTGAATCAAACACACACATACACAATAATTATCACATATGTCACAAGTAATACTTATCCACAAAACCAAAGACACATGAAACATGCAGCATGCACACAGCGAGTGAGCGTTTGGGATGCAATGAGAGGGCGCAAGCATGTTCCATTAAACCGAAAGTGCTTATGTTCTCATGGGATGGGGATGGTGAGGTATTGATAGTTAGATTAAGAAAGCACCTCAATTTTGCGTCCCTCTACGATTGTACCGTTTAATTTCTCCCGTGCGCGGTCTGCGTCTATGCTTGTTTCAAAAGTTACAAAACCAAAACCCTGAGATGATGTGATCATAGAGGATTCCCAATAGAGGATGAAAGGGTGGTTGAAGATATTTGAATGGGCAACAAATAAGAGTGAGCGTGAAAAGAAGAAAGAGGAAAGAAGAGAAAGAGGTCACAGTCAGCAGGGTTGCAACTTCTATCCATTAGTAAGAGGTGAAATTAGGACATTAGGGTAGGGCTGCACGATAATGGTTAAATGGTTAATCATGATTATTTTGCACAAATATATTATGATGGTTTTTAAACACAATTATTATTGTTTAATTCATTTTTTTTTACATTTCATCAGAATTAATGCACTTTTACAAAAGCACAATTTATTTATATATTTTGCTTGCAGATTTAGTCACAGCAAACAACTGCATGAAAGAAATCATACTGGTTGTATAACACTTGTTTGAGGAGATCACTAAATTACAAATTACATGTTTGCAGTTTTCAGCTCGCCATTGCTTTTTCCGTAATGACAGAGAGCACATGGTTGCAAGTTTTGGAAGATCAAGGCAACCACTGGTCAGAAAATGTATCGATTTCTGAAAAACAATCTCTGATTGGGGGATTTAAACTCTTTAAATCTGGCAACCGCAACCATGTATGCTTCTGAGGGCTTGTTACCAATGCAAGAAAATGCTAATGCCAAATTTAAATCAAATGTTTTCAAGATAAAAAAACAAATAACAAAAAACAAAAACAAAAACAAAACAACAGCAGGAGAGTGTCACAGACGAATGTGCTTAATAAACCGACTAAAGGCAGAAATCATGATCACGATTAAAATACGATTTATCGTGCAGCCCTACTTTAGGGTGAGAGCCACTGGAAAAGAGACAAAGCAATCTAAGATTATAACCAACAATGACATATTCTGCATTTCTTAATATTGAAACATTTGGCATGCATGCATGTGTACATTAGTGCATCTCGTCTAGTCTTGCTGAGTATAAAACTCATTCTTTATAAATTACAGATGTTGCCCTTGTCGTTAAATGATATAAACTAATGTAAGGAATGTTTCCAAGGCCATATAGGAGCTCAGAGGTTTAATGCACACAATCCTGCGCTCTAGCTAGGAAGCGCCTGCTCTGTCCCCGCACCCCCACCTCCGCTGTCAGCCGTGAGTTATGGCCAACTGCAACCCAAACGCCATATCCGGAACAGCTATTAGGTATGCACAGCAAACAAGAGCGTGGAACAAGCCCTGGTCTTTTAGTTCATACACACTTTGCAAGTACGGCCTGGTAATTGCTTTGGGAGGCCTGTGAGTATTATATGCATACATGTACACTCCATTCCTTGTGTCTGGCATGAATAAAGACCAGCCCAGGAGTCCTTGGCCCGTGAGGAAACAGAAAAATCAAAAAGGAATGGGCCGCAAAATTAATCCTGTTGACATTTTGCGCTACCGTGTTCAACACAGCGCTTGTAGTTTTTCCCTTTTATCACGGATTTAATTAGCTTACACAGCTAGAAAGCTGAGCCACTATCTTATAAATAACACTAACATACAGTACCTGGTCTGTTCCATTTCTTACAGTGAGCTGCCTACAGAGGCAGTATAGTAAGGGATCATAGGTGCAGAGGCTGCTCCAAAAGGCAGGCAACCTAATTATGATGCTTGCTAAGATACCTTGTTTTTGAAAAAATTTTAAGTCAGCATATTAAATTGATTTTATATAAATGTAAATATACATAAATAAATAATTGTTTTAATAAATAAATATAAAAATGCTGCACATATACTGTATAATTATATACTTCAAATATTTGATATTATTAGAAATTGCATGTTCTTAAAAATATATTAAATATAAATATATAATACATATTATTTTGAATACATTTTAATTTGTAATATTTTATAATATATTTGTAATATTTTATTTTATTATTTTATTTTGTAAAATTTCATATAAAGAATAAATATATTTATAATCAAAACTGCTATTGTATACATATACATCAAATTTACATGTAATAATTATATATATATATATATATATATATATACACAA